CTTAAATTTGGTGAAGGTCTTGGAAACCACCACAGTGACATCCATTTTGTATTGGCTGGAGGAGTGTTGTGTTCTCACTTATTTCTGACCCTAGCGAAGGATTGCTAGGATCTGGGCTCTTACAGGTAGCTGCACCTTGGCACATTCTTCCTTCAGAGGGGATAGTAAATAGTCTCTTCTCCTTATTTCTGTAGTTCAGGAATAGCTGATGTTCAAATGGTTTTAAAGATGATTGAAGGATAACCTTGGATCTAGGACTATGAAAATAACTAAATTCTACTTTAAACTCCATTGCTTAACTTCTTGCTTAAAGTAAATATTACCTTCCATACTAGCAGTGAAAAAGTTACATATCTCAGAAAAGTAATGATTCAGATGATAGTACGCTTGTAATCTTCATTAAAACAGTGTTTTACTTACTTTGGGTATCTTATTTACTTAGGACTGGTGAAAGGCCAGAGATTGGCCAAAATGCCTTCTATTTAAATGTCCTAATGGATTCCTGTAGGTAAGTAAAATACCCTTTTAATGAAGTTTATGATGCAAGATACAGTATAAATGATTCATTACCTTCCAGAAGAGCATACTTTTGTTTTAATTAGATACTGGGGATAAAACAATGCATTTTTATCTGGGAATGCAGTCATTGCATTAAAATGCTAACCAATTTCATCACATTATTTTCATATTGAATTGTGTTTCACAGAAAGGCATATGCCACATAACAAATATCTGTATATATTCCAGCTCTGTTGGTCTCCTATACAGTGTGGAGTCAATGGGGGACATCAGGGTTTCGGAAAGGAGGAATTTACCACATTCGTGAAACTCATGAAAGTTGGGAGGATGTTAGAGAAAATGTCTTCAATTATAATGAGGAAGGAGGTGGAGAACATGACCAGGTATTGAACAACGTTGCTACCATATTTAAAACAGCTAGCTAGCCATGCCCAAATGGCTATCTTGTCTTCCCTTCAGATAAATGGCATCTTGAAAAAGCAAGGAATTATCATTTCAAACACCTGGGGAGATTTCAAATGTGTGTTGTGGATTACAGGATCCAGATAATGTTGCTTAAATAAACCTTGTTCTTCTTTGCTACCCAAAAGCTGTTTCTCATGTCATATATTTTTATTAGATTTTAATCTCCTTAAGGCAGGCTCATGGTGCATTAAAGTACATGGCACTTACAGTATAAGAACTTGTGAAATAGAAGGGAAACTGAAGAGGGTGCTTCTTGCACCATAAGTGGGTACTAACAATAAAAGAAATGGCATTTATTTGGATTGTGCTTCAGGATCCTAGGAAAAAATGACTTCATTCAGACGAAAATAATTTGTAGGTAAATGTGATGTGGAATGATTTATGAGTTTACATGGTTTCTCCTTTTTTTTTTTCCTTTCATAGATGAACCTTCTGGGTGACTTCATACTTAAGCGGGAAAACATTTCTAGAGACCATATCAAAGTAACTGAGCAGTTTCTTGTTTGGTAGAAGCTGATTAAATTTAGTTGTTAGGCAACAACCCTAAATCAAGGCCAGTTGCTTGCAAATGTGAAGCCCGTTAGGACATGGGTATGGATACATGCAACACTTAAGAGTTTTTAAATTCATTTTAAACCTGAAGTGGACAGACATACGGGCGGGGCAGCCTGTTAGATTGGTTTAAAGCTACCTGGAATAGTTCAAAATTTTTATCTGGAAAATCAAGTGCTATTTTGAACCTGCTGTGAACTATTTTGACCTACTGTCAGTGTCAACTTGTTCAGTGTTGTGTGTGGGTACCAGGTATTCTATGATAAGGGGCTAGTTGGTCCTCCATGCATCCCACGCTGCATCATTTCTCCTCCCATCACCCCTCACTGCTGCAACTGGCTCTTCTGATATGCAGCCATAACTCTACTCAGCTACTTCACAGTGCATGCGTCTATGCGTCTGTCTGTGGCCCTACAACAGCATTATAACTGTGCCATCACATAGCACTTTCTTAATGACAGTGCAGTAACAGCCCGTACCGCACTGTGCCAATGGTGCATGGTTACTTTGAGCTTCTATGTTGTCATAGCAATGCGCTATACTGAGGGAGTAGATTGCTACTGCAACATAGCTGTGGTATCATGGTTTGTGCCCCCCAAAGCTTTGTCGCCATAGTGCACTAGAGGGAAACGTAGTGGGTGTTATATTTGAGAGAGTGATTCTAAACTAGTACTAAAATATATCAGTTCCAAAAAAATAGAAATTGGTGAGTTCACTGGGGTGTAGAACTTTCCATAGCAGCCCCCTCTCTGCCACATGTGATGTCAAATGTTCCCTTAATTTTGTTCTTCCCATCTCATTCAAAGCCTTGCTTCAAAGCCATCATCCTTTTAAGTGTGGAGAACCAGGGGAAATCCCATTGCTGCCCATAATGCTTGTTATCAAGAATCTTTACTACATTTAAATGTATCCTAGAGACGTATAGGTACACACCTACCTATATCATTATTTGGGGCCTGAAATACCTTTAACCTTCTTTGTTGCTACTTGGCATAGATACTCCATTGTGTCACATGTAACTTGTTCTTTTGAGACTTGGTAGCTTGGAGGTGAATGAATTAATTTACTTGTAATATGTTTTATAAAGCATGCAGCCTTCACCCAACTACTCTGAGTAGTTAAAGGAATTTTATTCTATCTGAAGGCATAACCCTTTCAAGCCGTCTCTTTCTTTTCTTCAGCTTATGAAGAACTCCAGTTACCTTAAGTTTCATTTGCGGATTTAAAGAAATGCCATGGTTTGCTACATAGGGTGTCTGCTTTTATATTTCTCTTAATATGTGCGTTATCTTTTTTTTCAGAATACTTATGATATAGATGAATTAAAGAAACCTCTGCAAAACAGCCCCCAGTTCTCCTCAGGAACTGATGCTCCACACTTCAGAACCCATACTGGTCCAGAGAAACATTCACTTCAAGAACGACCACATAGAAAACAATCTCGTTCTGTAGATGCCAGTATTCCAGACCTCAGGGAATACATCTCTCAAATAGTGTGGGATGCAGATCACAATCTAGACAGTCTTCCAGCAGACACTGTTCATTTTTACTGCTTAGAGGGGCAGTGTTCTCCAGCAGGGAGCCTTAGTTCTTTAGACTCCACTAATGTTGATGAAGATCTAAATTATGATTACATCCAAAAGTGGGGAACAAAGTTTGACAAGTTGAAAGAACTCTATAAGCACTCAAATCAGCGCTCATAGATGGAAACAGGAACCCCTTGCACTGCTGTGAAATGAACTTTACTCAGTATTTTACAAGATACTGAAGTGTCTCAAAGCCAGTTAAATACCTTATTGACACAAGCCCTTAGTACAGAATGAATATAATATGAATTGCTCACCCTTCCCATCAGTGATAATCTGAATACAGAATCTCTTTATATGAACTGTATAAATCACTATTTAAAGGTAGAAATGTAAAGGTTTTTAATATGTGAGCTTTCTTAAAAACTTTGAAACATAGGACTTTCATAGAACAGGAATAGCTTTTTATGAAACACCTTTTTTATTATGTAGGCTGAAATGAATTACTATAATTTAAATGCTTGCATGCAGGACACTTATTTTATTCCCCCTAATATTAAACTGATTCCTACCAAGTTGATCCTCACAGGTGGAGGAGCCTCTTTTTACATAAAACTGTTTATTTTGGGATGTAAAATCATAGCTAGATTCAAAGTGTTAAATAAAATGTTTCTTTTGTCAATAATTGTCTCCTGTTCTTACCTTATTTATCTCCTACCGCGCACACCTGTGCATATCCTTTTACTTTTTTTTTTTTTTTAAATAGTACATTGCCTGCTTTTACACTGGCAGGACCCTTGTCCATGCTGTGTTAGTAAGAAAAACCACTGAATGTAAAACCTTCAGTGAGGCAGCCCCTTCCTTCCTTTTTTTAAAAAAAATCTGATATAGGGTACATTTAAAGAAAACAAAGATAAACTTTCTGCAGTACATCTAACCTCTCCTTCTTGCCTCTTGTGTGCATGAAATGCAGTAAAAGATCTGCATGATTCTCTTATTGGTAAATTCTGTCCTGGGAAAGAAGCTAATTTAGCAGTATCGCTTCTGGGCTTTTCTGTAGGCTAAGATTCAAATGGGCCCGGCTACACATTCAAATTAAAGCTGGATAGAAACCAGCTCTAGAGTTGTTACACGTTTTCAAGTACTAACTTCAGAGCTGGTTGGCTCTTTAGAGCTGGGTAGTCACATTTATCATGTGATCATTACTGAGAACGTGTTGCTGATCTAAACTTATTGCAGGATTGGCCAGTTACTTATAGGCAATTGCGGGGGCTCGTGCCCTTCCTGACAGGGCCGTCCCCTGCAGCCACCAGAGGCTTCTGCGAGTGCTCGCCAGCCCCGTCCCTGCTACCAGCTCCTGTGGGTGCTCCACCAGACGCAGGAGGCACCAGTCGCCCATGGTTACTTGTGTGATACAAGCAACCCCCGCTTAACGCGGTTCCGCTTCATACCTGTTTTTTCCGGAACCAATTCCGAGCGCAGAGTGGGGCTGCCTGGTGCCCGTCTATGCACCGCACCGCGCGGCAGGGGCGCCTGCTGCGCCTGCGGGCAAAAGGCGGATCTACGTCTACACGAACGATACTCGATGCAGACCGGGTCCGATGCTGCCGCCCCTCATGCCCGCCGTGGTTTCGCTGTCCTGTGCCTATAGACGAACATTTTTTTTCCCCTCGGAGGAGGCCGGGAACCCATCAAGACAGAAACCTGCGCTGCTCCGCCCACCCCCAGCCCACGCGGGGCCCCCTCTCTGAGGACGCTACTCGGAAGTAGCCGCGGACCCTCCGCGCTAGGAGGGGGCGGGGTCTCCCCGAGCCCCACCGCCTGCCTCCCCGAAGGGCCAATCAGACTGGGGGAGCTAAGCAGATACCCCACCCCCTCACCGACTTCCCCGTAAATGGCCAATCACAGGAGGACTGGGGCGGGGCTGAGCGGAGACCCCACCCCTTTCGGGGCAGCGAGGGCGCTGGCGGCCATCTTGGGTGCAGGCGCCGGGCCTGGGGCAGGATGAGCGCGGAGGCAGCAGACCGGGAGGCGGCCACGTCATGCCGGCCGTGCACCCCGCCGCAGACCTCCTGGTTTGAGTTCCTGCTGGAGGAGGCGCTGCTGGAAACGCATCTGCGCAAGGCCGCGCCCGGTCAGTCCCGCTTCGCCCGCCCGCCCGGCCTCCTCTCCGCGTCCCGCTGCGGGCCCGGCGCTGTCCCTGGGCGCGGGTCCTGGGCCTGTCGGCTCTGGCCGGTTCCCGCGTTTACGGGCTCCTGGCGCAGCTCTTCCCTCCCGAGCGGGGCTTTCACGTAACCAGTGCCGGGGGTCGCGCGAGCCCGGGTGCGGCCCCCGCCTGGGGAAGGAGAAGTAACGAGGGGCTTCCCTGCCCGGCCGCCCGCTCAGTTTACACAAGAGGCTTGAGGGGGCGTGGGAGGGATTGAGGGTGAAGAGAAAGCCAGTCGGGATGTATTGAAACTGGCTCTTGCACTGCAAGAACAAGTGGTCATCAAAGGAAACCAGCAGGTAGCAAGTTAAGACTAACCAAAGGAAGTTGTTCACCCAGCGCGGCAGTGGAGGGTGGCACTGGGGGCGGCAGATGCTGGGGAAGCTGACAGCTTAGCTACATTTAAAAAGGAGATTGGGCAAATTCTGGGAAGAAAATGGCATCGGTAGCTATCGAGCCTGGGAAGTAGCGGGGCGGCCTCTGAACTAAGACTTCACAGAGTTTCAGTGCTGGAGGCTGCAAGTGAGAGACGAACAGGGGGGAAACCCTGGTCTTGCCCAGTTCGCTCCCCCTTTCTGCTGCTGCTGTGACACACAGGAAAATGGGCAAAATGGGCCCGTTGTCTGACCCAGCCAGTGGCAGTTCTCACGAACGATGTGTGCCCCTGGCAGCTGGGGGGACACGGCGGAGCTGGTGGGAGCGCGGGGGTAGTAAACAGGGAGCTCCTGCAGACGCTGCTGACACTGTCAGCAGTGATGGGGGCAGCGCCAACCAGGGGTTGACAACCACCCACAGATGTTGCCGGCAGCGTCCAGCAGTGATAGCTGACTGCCCACAGACACCGCTGGCGGAGTTGGCAGCGGAGGGATGGCAAGTGGCGACTGTCAGCAGCACCTTTTCGTATGGGATGCACGTGCACCCGTGTGCACGCCCTACGCGTTGCCATTGGCAGTTCTTATGTCCTTATGTAATAAATGTCTGGGAGGCACTATTAATTTCCCTTTTAAAAATACTTATCTGGCATTGTAAAACCCCACAGTTTTCTGAGGGACTTGGGTAAGTTTGTACATAAGCAAGATTTTAAATTAAAATATTTTGTGTCAAGATCTTGTGTCCTCTTAAACACATGGTGCTGAAATAATCTCTGTTTAGAATGCGGAAAATGTGTTTTCCTGGGATGTTAGCACAACAGAGATTGCATTAAGGAAGTTCCTTGGAGGTCTCTGAAGGAGACTAAGACAATTGTACTTTAATTTTTTTAAGTTAAACACTGGAGGTGTTCAGGAAGAGGCTGGGCAGCCACTGGTTGGGGATGATATAGGTGTGGCTGTGCCTGTTTTCTACCATTTGCCCTGCTTCTGGGCATTGCTGGTTGCTCCCACTCCCCCACCTCCCCCCTTTTTTCCTGCTGTACGTGTCAGGGTGTTTTTAAGCCTTTGCAGAAGCATTGGGTGTTACCTACAGCTAAGACCGGGCACTTTGACTGAGGTGTGCCGATTCTCCTGCTAGGACTGAAACCGGAGGTTCCAGCCTAGAGAGCCTTCCCCTCTGCTCAGGGTCAGACCAGTTGCCATTTTGGGGGTCAGGAAGGAATTTTACCTCATGGTCAAATTGGTATGAATTGGAGTTTTTGCCTTCTTCTGTAACACAGGGCCTGGCCCTTTGCCCAGGACCTCTTGAGCATATATTGATAACATTTTATAGAATTGGGACATTAGCTATCATGGTTCCCCTGCTTTAGGTGTGGTAGGTTAGAGGGTTAGGTTTACGTGCATCAAAATTGAGGGGAGTCTTATGTAGAGTTTAGATTATGCTTGTAGAGTTGCACTGATACATCGGTCAGATTATCAGATCAGTACTGATATAAAGAAAACTGGTTCTATCGGGTATTGGCAGGATGGGTCCGATAATTTGGCCGATAAATGCCTGTGCTGCACTCAGGCAGCAAGGAACACAGTGTGGAAGACTGCCTCCAGCTGGTAAATCCATGTGGTGCAAGGGGAGGGGAAGGGCGTGGCAGGGTCAGATTAACGCCCCCTGCGGTGAGGGAGGGGGCAGGGGAAGGCACTGCTTGGGGAGGGCCGGGGAGGGGGCAGAGCCGTGGCTTGTGTGTTAAGGCGGCTCCCGCTGCTGCTTGCATCCTAGGAGGGTACGGGGGGGGGGGCGTGTGCCCCCCAGATCTGTGTGGCAGGCTCTTTGTGGCAGGGGCTGGGCTCGGAGCAGGCGCTGGCAGCACTGGGACAATGCTGCATTCACCCCAAATTTCACCGCCACTCTGCTCCTAGTGTCACCGCTGAGGCACAGCCCCGGCTCTTCCTGGTGCATGGGTGGAGGCAGAGCATTGAGCTGGGGCTGCGCTGGGCAGCTGGCAGCAGCAGCACTGGGAGTGGAGCAGTGGTGAAATTTGGGGTGGATGCAGCATCCTCCCAGCCCCGCAGGTGCCTGCTCCGAGCCCAGCCCTCGCCAAGAAGAGCCCCACACATTCCTGGCTACAGCGCACCCCACTGCACACATCTGGAGGCACATGTGCCTGCCCTCCCCAAAAAATCTAGCGGTGCACCCCTAGATGGTTGGATAGGGATCTGCGTCAGGCAGGGGTTTGGACTAGATGACTTCCCTTCCAGCCCTATTCTCTATGACCTTAAATTCTATAACTATGATATAGAAGCTTTGATAAGAGCTTGAAGGCATTCACTCCTATTCAAAATTAATATTTAACCCATTTGTTTCCCTTCTCTGACCTGACTGGGGATAGACTGTGGGCTCAAACTACGTGGAAATGTTCTCATTTGGTGGATCAGTTCAGTACAAAACTCTAGTCAATTAGATGATGCCTTCAAGAAAAAAATACTACCAAAAAGCCTGCTTTTTGTACATCATTCATGGTTGAAATTTCAGTATGCTGTATTTTGTGTCTTTCTCTAAAAATGAAGTTTAAAAAATGGTTGCTTTTGTTTTGTTTTTTTTTTCCTGTTTTTTTTTTTTAGATCCATCCCCTGTTCAACTGATTATCCAGTTCTTGGAACAGGCTTCCAAACCTTCACTGAATGAACAGAACCAGGTTCAGCCGCCCCCTGATAACAAGAGAAACCGTATTTTAAAACTTCTTGCTCTTAAAGTTGCTGCACATTTAAAATGGGACTTGGATATACTAGAGAAAAGGTATTGCCTGTACATTTCAAGCTGAATTATTACACTGACACAGTGGTGTTTAGCCTTTTGGCCTTGTAAACCAAGCAAGTAGTGTGGACTGGTCTGCGGGTCAAAAGTGAGGTCAGTGAATGGGTTTGAGCTCTGCTCTGCCTGGGTCTGGCCCTGTAGGATCGATGTACTGCACAAGGCCATGGTGTATAGCCATTTGGTCTAGAAATTTAGCAGCAGGGGAGTAGTAATTAACACTACCACAGGTCTGCCATCAAACCTTTGAGGCTGCGGGGACCCTAGTGAGCCTCATGATGCTGCACTGTGGGCCAGAAATGGCCCACAGGCTGAGAGTTGAGCACTCGTGAACCGACATATGGTGAAAATTTTTCTTTATTTTAACAAGCTGGTGATGGGCTCTACCCTTTGTTCCACCTGTGTCTTGTTTTAAAGTGCTTCATAAGAGAGGTATCTGAGCTGATTCCAGTATAGCGGTTTTATCTTTTGTGAGCATGTAAAATAAGAGTCTTGATGAAAAGAACCTAGGTCTGTAAAGAGGATGAATACAGTGCCTTTAAAATGAATTAACATAGCAGTAATTTAAAAAGAGAGCAAGCAAAAACTGTTGTATTAAGATGTGCGTGTGACTTATCTAAGTAACTTTTCAGTCTTACTCTTGAAAACCTTTGTCTTTCTCCACCTTATCTTTGCTTCATTTGTCTTCTACTGAACTGTAAGCTTTCCAAAGTTTAAATTCTCATAATTTTTAGTTTTGAAGAATCCAGTAACTTAACTGAAAAAGTCTAAGACCCAGTGCGTTCTTTAGAAAGCTGCATAGAAGCTTACTACTTAAAATGTAATTTGGAGCATATGATTTTCTTCAGAACCAATTTTATGAAGTGGGGTGGGTGCTCTTATGTATGTATTTTTAGTTATTCTCATTTCTCACTAATCTCTGGTGCTTGAATGCTTGTTGTATTTTTTCTAAGTGTGCAGTCAGAGTAAGTTGCCTTAGTCCTCTCCCAAAGGACAGTATATTCTTTAATATATTTTTCTGAAATCTGAGAGTTGATGAGCAGGAAGTGGTCATTTATTTGGACAACAGACTTTCTGTATGGCAAAGTCTGAATTGCAGCTACCTTTAAAATCCTAGATCAGTGTTTCCTAACCTTTTCCAGCCCAACGCACACTTACATCAATAAAAATTTTCCATGGCACACCTTTTAAGGCATTCCCCATCCTCATACCTATTGAAGTTCATTGCCGTGGCAAAATTCTGTGGCACAAAAGTATGTAGTCAGAAATGACCAGGTGTGCCTTGGCACACTGGTTGGGAAACACTGTCCTAGAGTGATGCTTTCCTGTCTTCTCAAGGTAGCTACCGTTTCAGCAGACTGACACCTCAGTGGTAATAATGTCCACTGTCATTCAGTTGCATATCTTTCAGGTTGTCTTGAACTGGGAGCAACCCCTCTGTCTTTAATGTGTATTAGTATGTGCAGTTGCTTAGGATATAAACTAGAAGCAAGACTTTTACGTGACATGTACAATCCTATTTTTTTTCTCTCTTCTCCCTCCCCCCCCCCCCCTTTTTTTTTTAGCTTGTCAGTTCCTGTCCTGAATATGCTGCTGAATGAACTTCTGTGCATTAGCAAAGTTCCTCCAGGAACTAAACATGTAGACATGGACCTGTCCAGCTTACCCCCAACCACTGCAATGGCTATACTGCTGTACAACAGATGGTAAACTACTCTTCTTGGCTAGGCTACTATGATAACTCTAGTATAAGTGGAAATATTTGCTTAATTATTAGGACTTTAATAGTGGTACCAGATTAGGTGTTAAAAGGAAAGCTGAACTTCTTTGTTCTGATGGGTATCCCTATGTGTATATACAATATATAGTGTTGGCTAACAATTTTGAAACTTTACCTTTCACTTGTATGTTATGTATTCAGATAAGAGATATAAACTTCACATCATCTGTAATTGTAAAGGTAAATGTATAGCCTGTGTCCAGCTTCTAACTCTGTTGGGGAGGCAAGGGGTGGTGGGAAGGAAAGGGTGGGGCAGAACGGGGCCCCTGTAGTGAGAGAGGGAGTGGAGCTGTGGCTGAGGCAGGAACTGCCCAGCTGGGATGGAGGCATGG